CCATGCACGGAGGAAAACGGAAGTGTCGAAAACAATGCTATTCACTTGGGGTTTCGGGGCAAACAAAGCCGGATGCGAAGTTCACAATGTTTCATTGTGTCCTACCAGAGACTGTCCATTCGTTTGCCTAATCAGTTTATACATGTCGGTTAATCATAGGTTCCGGCCGTTGGTTCTCTGGGGGTTGTGGCGGACAGAAGTGCGCCCACGCAGTGTCGCATTCGCACCTTTTTCCGCATCTGCTGCAGCCAACGTGGAAAGTCCGGCAGTTGTGTGAGGAAAACGAAGCATTAGCACCTAAGCGACGACGAATTTGACTGAGGTAACTTTACTTGCATCCACCTCTCTGATTAATCCCATGCAACCGCTAATCTATCGAGATTTTGACGGTGATGGAGAAGATCGGTTAGAATGCGCTTTGGCGTTGGCAAGTGTTGAATGTTACACACTGTACGCAACAGCCCATTCATTCTCGCTGGTATTCGCCAGTCAGACAGTATCACCATGACGAATCCGGCGAGTTGGGATAAGAATTGAAGAGGTAAGCTCTGAGACTCGCGTGTTTCACGTACGGTCCCCGTGACCGAATTGGCTGAGAATCACTTCAAAACAAACCAAGACCGAGAATGAGATTGCGTGTCGCAATACAATCGCACGATTGTTTCAAAATGACCCCTCATTTCAACGTTGCATCACTGCTCAGGAACAGTTGATGAAATATACAAAAATTCATTTCAAATGGAAAGACATCAGGATTTAACGATAGCTACCAAGGAATGTACTAAGATCCGCTGATGGATCAGAGAGCGGAATGAGAATGCAGACAGCACGTGGGAACAAAATAAAATTTGCATAAGTGAAACGATAGGATAAAAACATATCAGAAACCAAGGTAATACAAAGGATTTGGCATCATGCAATTTGGTTTCTGTATGGAACAAACGGATAACGCACTGAATGCACCCATTTCCGTTCATCTGTGTGGATACTAATTTCAGTTGAGCTAAGTCACCGGAATATAGTCCAGTGTACAGGATGGATGTATCAAAGTGCAGGGAGCTGAGTGCCATGTTCAAATGCTTTTTAAAGATGGCAAAGGTAGGACACAAAAAAGCGATTTTGAAACATCAATCCAGAGTCCGTAGAAGTCACCGGTTATTTCCTCCGTAATCCAATCGTTTCCATTGCTAGTTTAATTATTATTTATTGCCTATCTGGTTCATACCGTATAAGAAATTGGGGTCGATTAGTATTTTGTATATCATTTTGAGATATTTGCCCAGTGGTAACCTGGAAAGTCCAATGATATCATAAACTTTTTAGGAAATCTTACCAGGCAGTTTGATAGAAACTGTCAAACTATGAGGTCATCCTCGATAGTTGCAGACATTTTGAGTCCTGGATCACACACATACCCGATTCAATTGGTTCTTTACCTGTCAAGCTTTTCGGTTTGTGTTCAAATAACGACTTCAGTTGGACAAATTAAGTGTACGAGCAAATCTTGATGACCAAGACAAACAAACCACGTGTTTCGCCTGACAAATGATGATTGTGGTGGATTTGATGAATGGTGGAAGTGTTGACCGATAGCTCATGGAACTGACAGGTTTCAAGCTGGCTAAGAGCCCTCGATATCGGAAGATGGATGTTCAAGTGAGAGGACAAGCTGAACCAACTGGGTTGGTCGATATCTTGACCGAAATTGGAGGAGTCATCTTCCACTTCGTTACCTTGAGCAAACCATCTTTTAGTTGGAATTCAAACACTGTTAGCTATTGGCGCAGCGTCAGTTACTATGGACTTTTAAAGCTGTGATACATCAGTTACTACATCTGCGATATGCGTTCCCAGCGTTGCCACACCACTACCTGCTCGATGGCAGTATTGTTGAATAGAAACTTGCTATCCATACTTACCATGCCGATTGCCTAAGAAAGAAATTAAAGTTCAAATTTATGTGGAAAATGTGCCATTATTACAGAAACTAATCGTACCGATTATGCTGATCAACTTGGACCAGAGAGATTTTCAAGCGAAAATCGGAGTGCATGGGTGCCCGATTTTCCACTTGACGGACCCCATCTATCATTACAGGTTGAGAAAACGCAATCTAAAGCTCAAGTTCGAAACTTACACCAAATAGCTCTTGGTTTTCCTATTCTGGTGCAGCAAAAAAATCCATGATTGCGCAGTGAGAGGCGAACAGTGTTGTTGCGATAATCTGCGATGTAGCGAGCCTTTTAGGCCGAATACAGAACTAACTCGAGTAAACTTAATTTCGCATAGTAAAGAAATTAGTGATGCCTAAACTTATTCGCATGCATGACCTCCTGCTTCCTACTTGAACTCCTCTACTAGCACTGACATATAAGCAGTAAGTCAATTTATCATAAGTAACCGACGTACTTCATATGTACTCCCTTATTCCCGGTCCTTCATACTAGTCTTTGTGTACAGTAGTCAGACAGTCATCCGTTTTCCTGTTTCCTTCAGCTTCATGCAACATCTGCACCGCGGAAGGTATCAAGCTGAAATGTACTCATTCAGTACTCCTGGCGAACTATTACCGATGTCCTCCCGTTTGTCTTTGTGTGCTATTGACAGCATCCAGTGAGGCAGCACTGAAATGAGTTGGAACTATTGAAGCGCTTTATACCTTATTTAAGTCACCTAAATAGGTTTCGCTAGTTCAATCATCCTCCTAAGACACACTGCGATTGTCCACAACAGCTCCAGACAACAATTGATGTCCAATTGAAGGACGTACATTACAATGAAGGTGTGAGAAGAGAGATGACAAGCCGGTCTAACAAGTCGTATCCTTCGAAATGCGACTCACAAACAAGCAGTTTTCTCTACAGTGAAACGTCGTATGGACACGTGCCCCACTCAGAGCGAATAGTTTTATTGATACACCTCATGGGAGTGAGGTATACGAGCGCATATATTACGTTTAGTCAGAAGAGGAAAAGATGGAGAGAAAGGAGAATCATAAATCGACTACTCAATGCAGACCATCCCTTAATTATAAGTGTCCCATTGCAAAGCCTACTTAGGAGAAAGGAATGGCCGTTATTGCGGCACCCGGGAAATTAAACTGTTGACGCTATAGTAGTTCCCATCCTACTGATATGCTGTATTGTAAGTAAGGAGAATTCCAACCAATACCTGAGTAGTCAGAATCTGTCACACAGAAACAAGCAAGAGAAAGAAAGCGTAGAAATATGCAAATTAATCCTGTAGACAAGCTGAGGATAGCAAACCCACGTGAATCACCGGTCCGTCATTAGATCATGTGAATACAAGAGGAATACTCCCATTTGCAAGTAATCCGCGTCAAACTTTGGACCTGTCCCGTTCCGTGGTGGCACTTTGTCTCCAATCCCCCCCCTGTATCCCACATTCTTCAGTCAGATGAATGAATGCTGTCACATACGCGGCAACTGAAACCACCATCCGCCGCTCTATGCCGCCGTCTGGATTCGACATCAGCGATGTCCGGTCCCTCTCAGCGCTTGATTCTCCACGCACGGACATCATGGCGACATGTGTTGGGGGCAGCTATTTGCCTGTATTATCATAGCCAGTGCTGCGCGTCAGCCTGCTTGTGGCTGAGCAGAGATTTACGTCAACACAAAGGAAGCCGTTAAGAGGGTCTCGCCAACTGTTGGTATACCGCAATGGATTTCCATTAGCAAATTTCACCAATGGATCAAGTAATAATGAAGCTTTGAGGATGGACTGACCAACTGCCTCCCAGGGGTCAAAGAATTTAAGCGCAAGAAACAGGCTGCAGCATAACCTTTTCGAGACCACCTTATACAGCAATGTGACGCAATGATGATCTGTTGATAAACTGAGTCATTTCGAGAACATTTGTTCTTGTGAGGGAGATCAGTATTGTTCGTGACAACTGAACAAGGCACGAGCATCGAACAGATTGACAAATTAAAATGCGGAGCCCCACTCTCATACTACATTCAAATTAATTATATTCAAGCACAGTGGGTCAGACAGTGCTCACAAGCAAATACCAACATCTTTACTGTTGACGAACAACAGGTATGTCCGTTTCAGAAAGGACAGACAGCAGTAGTCACATTAATTCCGGCGTAATCCGGCGTTAAGTTGGCGGTGCGTCTGAGATTATCATTGTGGACTCGAATGACGGTACCCATCACATTATTTGGCAGTGCAACCTTAGTTCGATCCTATTTACCATTCCTCACGAAACAGTGTCTGTTAGGTTGACATCTTTATAATAGACTAGCAACACTGCAAGTATTCCTGCTGTAAAAATAAATGAGAAACTTTATGTTTCCGCTCACTGAGGATATGACAATGTTAATCCATGTTGCAAGGGTTTTGTTGGAGTTCCACGACCTTTATCATTGGTATATGTTTTGTGGGCATATTCTGCCAGCTGCAGTTAAACAGCTTCGTTTGATAAATTACTACGCAGCTCTGGTGGGGTACGGCTAAGTTATATAAAGTGACTTTACTACGAAATTGGTGCGAGATTGTAGTCACTGTTGGTAGACGGAGTTGCTAGTGTACAGCTCTATACACATATTTCAAATTGAAAACTCCCAATGGGCTGACGACTCACCAGCTGCCGAAACATTTGCACAGAAGGGCACAGTATAACATATACAAGACTCATCTCTAGGTACCTACCAATCTGTCTTTGAGCTAATTCTATCATTTCGGATTCCGATAAATGGAAGTGTTTTAGATATGCTATATGTTTGACTGCTCAAATAAAGTCAGCTAAATCCCTCACTGAATGACGGGGTTAATTTTGGTGTCTGAACAACTTATAAAAAAGGACGGACGTGATAGTGCTTCTAAAAATACTTGAGCTATTTTTAAAAACCATACTTTGCCTGTGCAAAACAGGTTAAGCAAATGGTAAAACTTGAGAAAAATGTTATTCCTTTAGTTATGGTTTACCACATACGATGACTTTGGTTGTGATATAATTAGCAGTGGCTTACTTGAAATAGTCCTCTCTGCAGTACGCTTTGCCATCACGCACAAAGCATGTTGGGTCGTCACCGAGTGGTCTGCTGCATTTGAAACAATTCAGGCATCGTCCGTGCCATTCCAAGTCCGGCTGCACGTGAAGGATGAAAGGGTCTCGAATAACTGCTCCACATCCAAAGCAAAGGGAATAGGAGCTAGATGCCTTCGAACTACTGGTTTCCGCAAGCATATTCGTGGTGCCTATGGTGTATAAGAACAGACAAATAGCGAATGAAGCATGACACTGTACCAGCAACTTGAAGTGTTGCGCGTTACGGTATAGCGTTTTTGTAGAGACCAGTGAAAGATGGGGTTGGTATTAAGTCCTCTCAGGAACAGATGCACTGCATCAGACTGTTAATACATGGACGTAAAAATACTAGATGAACCTTTCATTGTAATGGGAATCCTTAGCTGTGCGCATTCCATCCGTTCCCTGTGGGGATTGGACCTGTGACTCAATTGCTACGAGTCCGTGATTAAAACCTTAGGGCCACAGGATTAATTGCGGTCGCCGTAGTCCATTTGTTAACCCAACTATAGAAGCTGAAATGCGAATGCGATTCCCGCAGTGATGAAGCGGTCATGGAAAAGGGTTCAGCGAACTTTGGAAACACGATTAATGGATTTGTTGGGCAACATGTCACATTTGACACGGAAGCCATTTGCTTTTAAACCGATATGAACTCAGACTCTCTGAACGTCCCAATTATCTTCCAAGAGTTCAGTCGTCTACTGCATACCGTACTGTCTAATCGACGGTGGCAGAGACGGATTTCCATAGAAAGTCTAATTCAACCATCGCCATTTGCTACACTTTAAACTTCGAATAATTTAGAGTACATTGTCTAAAAGTTACCTTAGACGAAGTGCAGCAATCTACATACTTTAACAGATATGGAACTGGGGTTGACCGTGTGCCTTCTAGAGCCAACTAGGACGAACAGATCCAAAGCTGAATGCCTGGTGACACTTTGCTATAACACCTTTCTTGTACATAGGAGAACACATCAGTTACAGCTGAAGCAGCGAAGTCTAAACTTCGACAATCGGATGTCTGAGGTAAGCGTGAATAAGATGGGAATGCATAAGGAAAGCAATTCATCCCGCGGTACATCATTCGAAGGGGAACGCAGTTGTTTTACATCACAACGGAAATGCAGTTTGCCGAATTGTCCCAACCGCCAAAGCACATCACATAAGTTGGATTGGACCGGAATTGGATGTTGGCGAATTTAGGGATGACGACAATGCTTGCCACGAGAATCAGGGAATCGTTTTTCCCACCCGAGGCAAATGGGTGCGGTCCATAAAATAAATTAAATCAAAATAACTTAATATAAATTACTTTTTGTCACTCAGGCAGTGTGTGCGAGACAGGCTATTTCACTGGATGTGTTGTAACGCATGCACACAAAGGAAAAATACCGTTAGACGCCAGTGAAATAGGAATACATTTTGATGCCAGAAGTTTTCTTCGCACTAAGCTCTGTAGCATTAATATGCTCAAAGCTGCATTGAACAATGGAAAACAGTAGTCAAGCCGTTGTTGCCCAAACATGAGTTTCATAATTGGGCACGATAAGCTTATATCTGTAACTTTTAGCTTAATTTACGTTGGAACTTCTGCCTATCATGTGGTACAAGTGGATGCTTACACTGCTCACGGAAGTGCCACCTGGATGCCTGTTCAGTTGATGCGGGCCCATTGCATTTACTCCTGTTTGCTTCGTTTCTGAGCAAACCTACAGCCGTATACTTACCCTTAGTGAACAATGAACAAGGGTTTAGCACGGGTAGAAGCGCGGGTGCTTGACAACACCCGTAGGATGTTTGAAGTAAAAAATAAAAAAACAAAATGATAAGTACTTCGTTAGTTTGCACGTCTACCAAATTAACTTTCTCGTTCCAGTACCATGGTGGGCGATAGGAAGAATATTGGAAGCAATTGTATTTGATGTATTTCTTAAGAAAAGTAAAAATAAAAGCCCTCACTCATGTATCACTTTCTTTGGTCCATGTGATACGCAGCTCACCCATAAGGAAGGTACAAGCATTGTTTAGGTAACGAAGTATAGAGCGTTAATCTGAACATGCTGATTGGTTGGGTCATCTTGATGCCTAGTCAAAAATTGTTATGTGGTGTACTGTAAACGTCTGAGTTTATAATCGAAACTTTTGAATACTGCCAGGGTGGGGGAAGAAACAACGTATGACTGTATGACGAGATCTAGATGGTAACCTATCGGCGTAGCATTGTAATTCAGGTTCAGGTGACTTAAACCGGGCTGGGGTCCGTTAGGATCTGATGTCATTTTCAAGTAGCCACGCAGGTATCGATATCGTCCATTATAGTTCCCAGGGGTTTTCAGTCTCACTCTTGGTACCACGAGAAATATGGATTATTTTTATTGCTTTCCCTTCGTTGTGTCATTTCAAGTGCTGATAGGTTGTGCTTATGCTAGGGCTGCTAGGCGCAGACGGCGTATTCTGAATGGGTCCAAAATTCGGCATTAAGCACCTGAGAGAAGATTGAAAGGTCAAAGTGTCCGAGTGCTGTCTGCAAAAGGTCAACGCGCTGCTTGGATATTTGGATGCGTTCTCGGTCTGATGTGAACAGCTGAAATCATCGTGTTCCATCACTCCTAGGTTGCATACAATATAAGTGCGATGTAAAACTTGATCCCCAGGCCTGTATTCACAACTAGACTGAAGGAGCATGCTTAATGTCTAGCAAGTGGGTGCCTTGATCTGGAGCATATTCTGGGCCGTCCACAAGCATGCCCTGTCTAGAGCATCTTGCAATGTTGCATGGTCACCCGCCGTCCGCATGGGCGGCCATCTCCTGAGATCATCAGCCAAGAATAAGACAGCTGAGTCGATGAGTCTCGGGAGATCACTTGTGTATATCATGAACAAACGTTGACCCATTAGTAAGCTCATTGACACTCCGCAATGAATCGGATGCGACAAGGCAAATTCTCAAATTCAGATGTTGTTGACATAGGAAGTTACCTTTCCAACCTAGGACCAGAACATCAATCCCGGTTCTGAAGATTGCTAAAGAGGTTGTCTTAATTCTGACAGTCGAAAGCTTTTGATAAGTTTAGACGAACGGCGTCAACTCCAGCATTGCTGTCGACGGTTTTAGTCCAAATGGAACGAGCAAGTAGCAGGAATGTGACGCAAGATCGGTACTGGCATAAGGTGGAGATATCGATGTTGTTTGGTGTTATGACACTGCATCTTTCCGACTAACCGATGGAACTTAGGCTACAATAGCCTCTATGGTATAAGAGAGCAACAGAAGGGGTGTTAGTGGGCGATATTGACCTGATTTGAACGGCTTCCTCTCTTGTGAATGGGAGTGAAGATTCCATGCACCCACACTATTGGAACCCACATCTCGTTATGATTGGAAGAACCGAAAGAGTGCTTCGGCCAAATTCACGGCAATCAACTGCAGCAGCAGGAAAGGTGTGTTGGCACAGCCATAAGCCTGATATGGCCGAATTCTGGTGGTGGTATGACACGTGAGCAACATGGGCGACGAAGATGTGCTCTGAAAGCTTGGGGAGAATTGCTAACATATAGCGTTGACCGATTCTGTTGCAGCATGTGCCTGTCCATGTAACCTGTGTATAGCAAGTATCCCTCGGTACGTGATACGGAGTTTGTCAATGTGTCTTTAAAGGAGCTTGGGGTTTGAACAGAATTTCACGACTAGATTCTGTTGCTACTTTAGTTTCTTATCGCGTAACAGGTTAGCGCCCTGGTTCCGTTGGGCAGCGCTGCCTTCCTATCTTTCGGTGCCCGGTGACTCTTTGTGGGTTCGCCAGGGTAAATCTCTAGTGGACATACAATTCCGCGTCCTGCCACGTATGGAGAGCTTTACTCACATCGAGCGTGAGGGCCTGTTCCTCGAAGCATTTGTTACTGGAGTGTTGAAAAGATTGGTAAAATCCCACAAAACACACCTGGGGATATTTAGGCTAAGAATGACCAGTCGGTTGCCGTCAGAACGCTCTAATCTGGAATGGAAAGCGAATCGTCGGCGTTTTTACGGGAAACTGTGCGTAACCGATTATGGTGGCCAACGGCGGGAACTACTGCGCCAGTGGTCAGTAGTACGGAAACGCGAAGAAACCTAGACGGTAACGGGCGAACAGCAGACCACACCAAGATCCAGCAGAAGAGGAACGTTTGAAGTCATATATGTAGGCGTACAAGGATTAGATATACGAGCAGCGTATCACCTATTCTCCCGGAGAGTTTGATGTCGAATGGAAGGGCTGCTAGAGACAGCTGATACACTTGCTTGTTGCTAATAGCCATAATACATAAGTCGGTTCGCAACTTGGGTTCTTGAAAGATGTAGCTAAACAGTAGTGTTTCATGATGGCTGCGGCCTCAGGGGTTATCCAGTCATACCCACACAATCGTTGATGAACACGAGATCCTCTATACCTGTTTTGTTCACCGTCATGAATATTATGAGGGATTTAACATGATTAGTCGTTTGAATTTCATTTTAAAGTGTCCCTCGAGACAGGCTAGGGCTACTTTGGTATGAATATTGAAGTCACCAACCAGTATGTTCCTTTGTGACTGCGAGAATAGTCATCAGAAGAGCGGGGTATTTCTCTCGCACAAGACGATTCTGAGTGGATTTTTGCTATTAAAGTGCGCTATACGTTTAACTAAGGCACCTAGAGGACCACCCTGATTGCTTGCCATGTAATCCAAACCGAGAATGCGACCGGTACTAAAATTCCAGACCAGCGTTAATTCAGGGTTTTCTTACTACTCAAAGAGAATTATTAACGGTGGCCGATGAATAGCCCGATCCTCCATGTTGATGAGTGCACGAAAAGCATTTCATCCGTGTTTTCCCTAGAGATGCTGTCACTACGGCACACCACGACCATTTCTTCCCAGACGGAAATACCGGATATGATCCCATTGAGAGTTGAAACCGGGGCATGTAATTGTCAGCAGACGCCAATCTGAGTGGGTTCGGACGGTGAGAGAAGCTCTCATCCTAAACTCAGAATTATTCCCTGTGGTTTTCAACTGTACACTTTATGCCTGGCATTGCACAGGCATTGCTCTCAGGACAAAGATCACTGAAGTTTGAGCAGAAGAACAGAACAGAGGAGCTGATGAACGAAGTGCAGACCGCCAGGCAAAGAGGAACCACGATCGGCGATTTTGGTGTCAGTTGGTAGTTATTTTTGACCCGTGGCAAGTTTCACACCTTATAATAGCCGGTTTAGCCTCGAATCCAAATCCATCAACCTCCATTTGTTAACATTTAAGTGAACTTAGTTTGTGCTTATAGTTCATGTCCTACCGATATCCGGGAGATTTTCACAACAAGGTAGCAATATGTTAACACCGTGAGTCATGACTTATCACTAAAGTCTGTCACCTAGAGGCTGGTTATAAGGCTTTTAACGGTGATGACACAAGTGGACGATGGTCAGCTTGTGGTCTTTACATTCTGTTCTTTGCTGAAGATAGCAGAAGTTGGTAGCGTCATGTTTCTTACATTATTGGGGGCTGTAAACCCACGCGATTACAGCAACTCTAGACATCTTCTGCCCATTTAGAAGAACTGTTTCTGAAGCATGCGGTACTTGCTAATTTGCCATAGTTGCTGATCGAGTTGAGAGGGAACGAAATACCCGCCATTGGCAAAACTGAATGCGTATGTAATAGGGATAATTAAAGGTTGCAAATGTGAGTGCCCACTACCTATTTTAGTCTAAAAGCCAGCAACGTACATAGAGTATCGGCTAACCAGTTTGTCTGTTTATAGAATGTCAGTAGTCATTGGACTCAGTAAGGAACGTACCAATGGCCGGTGGCGCCCAGTCAAGCCAGGTACCGACAGTGTATTTGACGAACTAACTAGATGGGTTGAAGGGCGATCCACCTTCCACTGCCATTTAGCTCACTGCGGCTGGGAATAGAATGTGCGTGATTTCTGGGGTTGGTATACTCCGCGCAGCTTACGGTATCATAATTCAGCTGAACCGAGTAACATTTAATCTAGTATCGAAACAGTTTGACATAAATGCATCATCTGGATTGGCCTAGTCCTGATATATTGGATTCATCATGGACTTGGTTGCACAAACACTTTTAGTCTTGGTCGTACCTACCCTCAGCTAGATAATATGGCACCCATGGCTCTTAGTCTATCAAACTGAAGACAGAGAGACGCGTACACTTTGCTATATACCGTATCTTGACTTATTCCAAAAGGCTAACCGATTAACAGCTGTTCAGGGAAGGAAAATATAACGGGGTTTGCAATTTAAGGCATTTGCATGAACAAACGGGACGCCCTCTATCCACCCTGTGTCAGTATAACATCATTTTGCTTTTAAGCTGCTAACAGCACCACTTAAGAACCAACAGAAATCAGATGGGAAATAAGCGGTGACACCTGTTTTCTGAAATGTTTGTCATGTGAAGTATCGTGGGAGCATGTTTTCTCATTCATCCTGATCCACGTATCAATTAAGCTTGTAGAAGTTCCAACTAATACGCGTATTGCTAAGTTGCATTAATTATGATTATGATTAGTAAACCTTCTCTTATCTAAAGTAATAATTTAGACGAGATTTCACTATGGAGGAGTGGAATTCAATGTATCATCCCAAACCTTCGGGTCTAACTACTGCTATCCAAGTTCTACACCAAATAACAAACTTAACCTAATTGGAAGACCAACCGAACTTAATCGATGAACTGGTAACATAATCAAAACACCGAGCTGGAAGCGATGTATTGGAAAAACAGCTCTAATAGTAACACCGGAAAATTGGGATTATTCAAACTTACCAACGGGTTGGGTTGGATCGCGAAATTCACTTGGAAATCTGCCTGCCACGGCGGTCATCTCTCACCGACTTCTGAACTAGATACGATATGATAAATTCCAAGTGCCTTCACAATAGTTCGATGGTGAACTTTCCTACTGACCGAAATACCGTTGCATCAGTCGGTATTTGCGTCGCTATGCTGGTCAATAATGTGAGGAGAAAAATATCGCTTCTCATATTTCCTTCAAATTGAGTGGCCATACCTGAGGAGTTCTGTCCTCTCGCACCAATCCCACATCAGCAAAGGCACTTCTATCCCAAATCATGTATTCATTGGCGAAAGGATTTGTCGTAAGTGGTCATCTGGACAAATCGGATGAAAGCTGCCCCCTCTCGGCCGTCCACTTCTTCATCTGGAGGTGCGAGTGGCGCACATGTGACCCGTTTCCCGTGTGCGTCCATGTAAGTGTGGGTTAGGAAATGGTTTGAATGGTTGAAGTAGGAGACAAGATATGATTGGGACATTATCGGCCTACCTTCACTGACTGGTAACTACTGCATGAACGATAGCCTTCACATAGAATTAATTGAGGACGAAACTTTCCGAATGTTTTGTGTTTCCCTGAGAACAGATATAAAAGAACTTGTGAAACAAAGTGAAAGTTTGTGAGGAACAAAACTCTGCTCTGATCAGCCAACACTGTAGCCGGATAGACGGCGTTGCTTCATGCCAACGCCCGTCCTATTCTAAACGAACGCGTTCACATAAGGCTTGCATACCATTCATCGTGAGGCAAACAAAACAATTTATTTAATTTATGATATGGTAACAAACGTTTGCTTTGACCAAGAGGAAAGTCAGGGAAACAAAAGCAAACCGCAGACAAGACATTCGCGAGGAACCGCATTCCTTGATGTTACTTCGGCTATCGGGAAGCAATTTGGTAACCAATACTACAAGACTAAGATTTATCGTTCTGATCAAAGTGCCATTACTTGCACAGTAATGGTTAGTCATTATTCGCCCGCGTTCACTGGGCATCGCTGGGCACTAGATTGTGCCTTCACTGTCCAAAACGGCGATGTTGCCTCAGCAGCCAAGTAATTGTAACCACTATTTCTACTTCTATATATACAGCAAAGAATCGCAAAAAATCAAAGGATGTTGACCTTTACGGGGCGGTCTCAGGTTATTTACCTATTGTAGTTCTTCCTATGTTGCACTTTTATAGGTCATAAGATTATTTTTAATGTGAGAATGGCAGCAAACGCTGAGGACGTGCGACCCACTGAGTTCAGAACCGCCGTAGTAACACTGCGTTAAGATCCAGCACATTAGTGGATAACCTCAGGACAGACGTCGGTTCAACCGAGTTCTACGGAGAAGAGCCCAATGCATATGTTGAATAACATTACATACCCTGAATTGAGGCAAATCTCGCTTCTGCCAGATTTCGCTCTGTCTCCCTCACCTGTCTCTATTGCACACACTGATCTTGTGACAACGGGCACGCACTGAAATTGTTGAGAGTTGTGGAGCTGACTTCGTGTAATTTCGTCATGATCATTTCGCTGTACATGGATCAAGAACGCACAGTGTGGTTGTGGAAATGTGTGCATATCGGCAGTATGTTGGACAGCTGAGTCTAACTATTGACCTTGTTTTGACAGCTTTGTTTCACTTCCCGATTCCATTTGTGCTCGGGTTGATAACGTACTACCTGCCGACGTTAAAGCAGATGCACAGACATGTTATGAATTCGTGGATCTGTTCTTATTTAAATTTTTCCTGTCATCCGTTTACATGCATTATATGTTTACCTCTACACCCAGAATTCGCTTGTAACTCCCGCGTTGACAAGAAAATTTAACTAGCAAGGCCAGCAGCGTTCCTCCTCATAGTTATTCTTTCCTGCGGCTTAATTTTACTCTATCGCGTGCATCAGACATTATCAATGAAAACAGAAGAGCAGAAAGAAATCCCGTCAATTGTATCATTTATTTCTATGTTCTGATTATCTCCAGTATCAACAAATGGTTACCTTGGCACTTACCGGTTACTTTCGCTTTCTATTATGCACCGGCTTAGTTCGGTTACTGTAGCGTTTACCGAGCTGGGTAACTTGTTTGTATTCGTTTCACCAACATTCGAGGTAGCATCGTCAGTGCAGGATCGATGGCAATCAGGTAGCGGAAGCTGGAAGAAGGAAAACCGTTTTAGTCTCACGGCAGTATGTAGTTTTCGTTCAATCCCTATCTAAATTTCAGCCTCATTTGTTGGATTGTGCACTCCTCAGTGGAAGAGTATGAGCGATACTGGAAGTAACCAAGCTCGCCTTTACGCATCAGAATTGATGAAGTCAATTTCAAGACCGTATGGCGCAAATCCTCCCCAATTTCTGTGTATTCAATCCGGTCAGTAATGTACGTGGGAACCGATCACTGTGTCGTCGAGAATTGCCAAACGCCAATTTATTCAGCCACAGGAATTTCATCCTTCTGACTGTGGCAGTGTGCAACTTAACCATCTAATTTGAAGATGCACATGGATCAACATGTATATTGCGTGAAAAATGATGCGATCCATGTCGAATTGCGAAACAAACTATATAACTATCTAATTATAGGTTTTCTTAGGTTTCATCTTGAGTCTATAAATTGACATGAAGTTCTGCTACCAGAACAATGCAGCAGAGACGTTATGGTTGCAGTTCAGTTTTGTCGCCTTTCCCGCTCTAAGAGAAGTTCACTCCTTCCTTAGCGGTGACTCGTGGATCTGCTGGCTCGATGCGCACCGATTTTGTGTCATAAAATTTGTCGGAGGGAAACTTTGATAGCGTAGAGTGCGTTTATACTCTTACGTTGTCACGTACATCATGGCAAACGACTCATCAGCGATGGCACTGTCATTTTCCAACAGATAGGTCCGACATCGTATTGAGTTTCCCCGGTTAGCCCGTGATACTAACAAACTTTCATCTGATCATTCGCGTGTTTATTGCCGAGATTATGGAATAAAAATGCTGGTGGATCGGAGAACGTTGCCGTTTAATTATTCTTTGCCTATACTAAAAATTCTTTTTGGAAAAAATAGGAGTAGAATAATCTCGTTCCATCAGTCTGGTAAATCTGTTGAGACTGCAATGACAGTTTTCGTAATTTTGTCCCCTTTACTTAACGCTTGTCCCCCTGGGCAGTTCCACTGCAAAGTTCTCGGGGAGTTCTGACAACCACCCTTCTTCCCTTCCCCCCTGGGAGCAAGTCACAGAGTAGGTGTGCTGGGAATGCTGTCCGATCTGATACATCATTTCCACTGCTCTGGCAGCCCAGACCTACAGCTACCCCGCACTCCAGATCAGGTGAAGTGGGCGGAACGCAACTTTCAGTTGATTTCAAGTGCGATGAAAACACATCATTGCGGAACTACACAGGTGGTATGAATGTGCAAGCCGCCCCCTTGACCTTAATGGCCGAAGTGTCCGTTAGGGTTGCTTATCTTTCGGACTGGCCGGCGGCATGAAGGCGTAACTAAAGGAACTTACGTTCCAAAGACGTTGTGGGTGTATCGCATGGTGATGAAGTCTGCAGCAAAAGATTTGAGCCACACAAGTGGTCAAGGAAAATGAGATTTTACATCATTGTCAAAGAAGGTGGCTGGTACAAATGTTAGACAAAGAGGAACGACAGCTACGTGGAATTGACCGATGAGGAATATAGCAACTGGGTTTCAGATGTCACGAACTCGGCAAAACTAGATAATTTCGGGCGTTATTTCCGGGGAAGAGATGGAATAGAGAGTTGCTGACTGTGTTTAAAAGTAACATGTGGTCATTAACATGTTGAAATTCCTCAGCTGTACTTGTGCTGAAGGGCAGAATGGACTCGAAAAATGTCAGTTTCTTTATGGATACAGCGAAATAGCAAATCGAACACAGCGCTTGGTGGACTAATAGACCACGTAAGTGAGAGCTCTAACAACTGACTGAAGAATTGATCCTCCGATGAAATAATTATTTGTCATGATTTGCGACGGCAAAGTTATCCAGAGAAAATGGGTCGTGGTGAATGTCGGATTGAACTATCACGTGACCGAGATGAATTAGGTTGCTGAACTGGCATACATCCGTTCCACGGCGATGCTGTCGCAAGCCTTTGTAACTGATTGATGCAAAGCAATTGGTCCAGACAGACCAGTTAAGGCACTGAGTGGTTGCAAAGAACCGTCCGATATTGCAGTAGGATGCTTGCTGTTTAGCCAGCTGAAATGGGTACAGGTAGGAGAGTGGCAATTGCAGGTATTTAGCTGCTGTTAGCGACTCATCTAACCCGCTCTTCATTCAAAGGTCTCATTTCGGACTGTTTCACTCAACATCCTCACTGCTTTCTGCTTACATTTTATCACCAAAGTAGGTCATTCACGGGATATCTACTGTTGCTATTACCACGCAGAGTTTCTAACGGATAGAGTGGAGATAGAGTTAATGCTTCCGATTGAAACTCTATATCTCAAGGAATTGTCGTAAGAGTTCATCAAATGTTCCAAAACATCAAGCAACCAGACCGTTCATTAGGTGAAAATATCAAAGTCCATCGCACCACGGTAACACCAGGGTACCGGGTAAGTGTCCCACTGAAGAGACCCACTATGATCAGGGAGTTTGTGTTATATCGGCTTAGTCATTGTTGTTAATAAACCTATGCGAGTCCCACTATTTGCGCAAACCTCTATACAGTTGCGGCAAAGAATAGTTTGGGCACACAGGAAAACCAGCACATCCTGTAAACGTTAATTATACAGGTGGAGCCTCAGATGGAGGAACTCGGTAACTTAACGATTATACTGTTTCAGCATCGATAAATCGGTCCCCAGCATCGTTCCGTAAACTCACGGATAATTGTTAACTACATATTCCTAACTTGATGGAAACCACTTTTAACGAGAATGATCGCATCTCGAGTGAACCAAGAACAACTGCCAGTGACACTAAGCTTGTCAGTTAGTAAAACATCAGGCGCCTTATTGGTATGTTAATATTCCATTTTTTTTACACAGGAGAACTGTCAACATGGCCTAGGTGCCCGCAGATTATTTCATTTGCAGATATGATGATGGGTGGCGAATAGAACGTTCTAATCTGTAATGGGTAATCTAGCTCAGTTTAGCTTACTCCAGCCTTAGCTAGAACAATAGAACAGAGATGTATTATGGATAAATATCATGTTCTTCACAAATCCCATGGGATAGCCGGGATGAGGATCCCAACACGGTTGGCACATCTGCAGTGTGATAACTATCCAGAGA